CTAGAACTCTAGCCCAGCACTGCCCAACAGAAATAAAATTGAGCCATATATGTAAAGTTTTCCAGTAGACACTTTAAAAAACATAAGTGAAATTAATTTTAATAATATACTTTATGCCATCCACTATCCAAAATATTATTTCAACAGGTAACTGACATAAAAAATTAATGATGGAAATAGTTTACGTTCTTTCTCTTCTACTAGATCTTTGAAATCTGGTGGCTGTTTTATACATTACATATCTCACTTCAAACTAGCCACATCTCCAGTGCTCAAAGGTCCCATGTGGCTAGCGGATGCCGTGTTGAATGGTGTAGAGAGGATGGAGAAAGAAGGGAAACTTCCAAGCTCTTTCCTCAAAGCCATCATCTTTCTTAGGCTGACGTGGCTTTCAAGTTCTGTGCCCTCACACAATAGACCAATCTTAAGATTGTGGCTAAGAATGAGGGCTCTGGAGCCAGACTCCAGGGCCTTGGTGGGTCATGAAGTTAATATGTGAAAATCCCTGTTTATAAACAATAAGCATTTAGAGAAAAGATCTCATTTCTAATAGCAATAAAATAGAAAAATATAATATTTGGGGGGAAAAATCACTAAGATACTGTGCGGGGTCTTTATTGAATAAAACATTAAAGGTTCACTAGAGGAACAAAAAAAGAGAATCAATTGAAAGATGAACTGTGCTCATAGAAATACTCAACATGGTAACAATGTTAATTCCCCCTAAATCCCAAATGAATAACCAATAGGATCTTTGCACCAACCATGTGATAGTGTGCTGTCCTGGGATATATCTAAAAAAGATTTAAAAAAAGAACCTATTTGTGCTTAGTAGATATCTCAAAATAAGATCTTCCAGACTTGTAAGTATTTGGGCTGAATCAGGAATGTATATAAGTGTGTGGATATTTTTTGTTTTGTTTTACCAGCAGGAACCACACCAAAGCCTAATAATGGTCTCCTACTGGGAGAAGGACAAGAGTTAAAGTGGAGCTTTCTATCTTCTTTTTGTACCTTTTCACACCATTTGATTTTTCTAAATGTGTAACTATATTGCATTTTTTAAATGTCAATGATAATTACCTGAGCCATGAGTAAGACATAAGTCTTTTTAAAATGAGACATTTAAAAATGTCTATATTTAAAATACACTATTAAGTGTTGTCATAAATAATAACAATGATTGATTGTTGAACCTGGATCGAGGGTCTATTCCTCCTTCTGGGAGCTTCTCTCTGGAACATGATTAGATCTCTAAAGGCCTGTGCAGCTCTAACATCCCAGGATTCTTTCATGCACTCACCCATTCAGCTGGTCACTGAGGGCCTACAATGCTCTAAGTGCTGAGGGTCTAACCTTCGGTGCAGCTAGGAAGATGGATGTTAATCCAACAATCCCACATGAAAATGTGCCAGTCCACTGGGGTCAGTGCTATGAAGGGGATGCACTCGGTGGTAGAGGAGAGGGTAAGCAGCAGATATGAAGGCAGTGGGGGCAGAGGGAGAGTCTGGGGGTGTCAGATGAGCAGGTGTTAACGGGGGTAGATTGAAACAGTCATTACAGAGGGTGGGAGAACAGCAAACACACACTGGGACTGCCAAGGAGCTTTGAGGAGTCAAGAAACCACACGGCAGTAACAGGCGTCCAATCAGCATTTATCTAATGAATTGAGGAAATGCCACACAGCTTGGGTAACCTTTTTAAAATGATAATTTGTTTCCCTCTAGGATGCCCTTAGAAGAACAACTCCCTGAGCTCTGCATCACTAAGCAGACATCCACACCCACATATGTAATCTTTGGTCAGCCAACCCTCAGTCAACTTCATGGAACTACATGGGTAAAGAAAAGCCACTGGCTAGTCCACAAGGCAGTAATGCACTCAGGGACAAGGGACAGCCACCAGTGTACCACAGGATCCCATGAGGTTTATCTCAATGCCCAAGCACCTGTGAAATGTAATATTTCAACCATCAACAGGCTAAGATACTGTGAAAGGATTCAAATATTGAAAAAAAGTGGGGGTGCGGGGGAGATACGTTTTTAAAGATAGAATCATTTGGTTTCTTAAATTTTCATGATCTACAGTGTAAACAGAGGGTAAATTAACAAAGGCAGCATAGGGAAATAAATCAAAAATAAAGGGAGGGCTCCAGTAAGCAAAACCTGCCTTCCAGCTACATGGAAAAACACTCTAGTGCTCTGAGTAAATAAATAATAAAAGGATGTGGAAACAATACACCTGGAAAACTCTTGTCCCTCCTCTGTTCTCCTGGCCAGAAGCAGTGCTGACAGGTTTTTGCTGCCTGGGTTTACATACCCAACTAGCATTTACTTATCTAATAACATTCTTTGCAAAGAATTAGGTAGTGCATTCAAAAAAGCTGGCACCTGTCTCCATTTGTATTTTTCTAGTATATCTCATTATTTCACCCCAAGCTTCAGCATTAATTCCTATAACAGAGTACCCTGACCCATGGACTAGACAAATGCTAGGAATAAGAATTTGGGGGTGCTCAGACCACACCCTTTTCCTTTTCACCCTGATAGGAAGGCTCTTGAGAATCTATACCGACAAAGAAACATAAAACAACGCATAGTGATTTTCAACCTTACCACACCTAGCTGCTTTTTCTAAAAAGCCTTTTGATTCAGATAGATCCTATATTTCACAATTATAGCTGTAACCTTCATATTTTTTCTTAAACATATGCTACGCCACCATCACAAGTAAATTGTGCAACAAATAGGTACAGAGCAAAACACTGATATTTACTGAAACAAACAAAAGAAACAAAAGTAGAAATAATAATGATCCAGTATCACAGAAGAGTAGAGCCACAGGGGCCTTTTGCTGAATAAGAGGCTAAAGGGCTTTCACTAGGGAAGATGACATCACAGAAGGGTCTGGAAGGTCTAGAATGGCCTAGAAAGATAAAAAGACAACTAGCTGTCACTTCAGTAGGCCTGGGAACAGTTAACACTTGTTAAACCAACATGGTTACACCCACTGCCCAGCTCCGACTGCAGTTTGTCAGAGCTGCTGAGAACACTGAAGGAGTAGCCAGCCTGACAGTGGGTTGGCCCCCATGGTGTCATCAGGCCCACCTCCCCGCAGTGCAGAACAGCCTGAGAAAGGAGTGACACGCAGGGATCAAGTCATTTTGTCCTGATGTGGAATTTGATAGAACATGTCTTGGGATTTGGTAATATTCGATTTAACATGACTTTACCCCCCTTCATTCTTTCCTGAAGCACAGAGATATCACAAAGGTTAGTCTTCTTTCTCAAAGACTGTGAGCTGCAAACCACTGGTCACTAGGAGTGCCTTTATGTGGTTAGTCCAACATCCCACATACAGCAAAATGTGACGGAGAAAGGATTCTTTTTGTGTGTAGATAAAGAGCAGGGGAACAGCAACCGGAACATAGAAAACCTAATTTCTAGTTCTTTGGCACCAGTCAAAGTACGATCACCAGAATTCTTAACTATATATTCTCCATAAAAATGCATTAGAAAAGGCAGTAACAGCCATATCACCATTTCACTGAGAAGAAAAAACAGCCCCTGTCCACAGGCCCTGAGGCTCTGAAATCCCGTGGAGGCAGCAGGCGTAGTCAAGGCCTAGGACTGGGTTCTGGTTGTGCGGTTCAGTGGGTCAATGACCGGCCCTCCAAGACTCTTTCCTCTTCTGCCCCATCTATATATTTTTTTAATCAAGTGAAAACACTTATTAAACAACAGACTTTCATCTTCACAGAAATAAGGGATTATTATATTTTTTAACTACCAGATAAATTATAGCAAATCTAGATGGCGTCACACTACATGGAATAATTAATGGTGAGATGAAAAGCGGAAGATACGAAGGGAAAATCAACTCACAGAACACGTACAGCATGATGTCACCTTTCTTAATAGATGTATGCATAAAATTTATGTGTAGAAAAACTGGATGCACATACTGCAGATATAACATCACAGTGGTTATCTCTGGATGGGTGATTTGTATTTCTTTTTCATGTTTTTCCATGACCTCTATATATTTTCCAATGATTATGGGTGAGATATGCAACACATCTAAAAAATAAGTGATTGTAAGACTCTAACATAGCCTCCTACACTTTTGGTGAGTGTGTAAATAGGAGCAACTTCTTGGAGAGGTAATGGGAACAGATCTATATAATTTTATACACAAATACTCTTTGACCAGCACTTGGACTTTTCATTGTCCCACCCCTCCATGTGCACAAAGAAGTGGGGAAAAGAAACAGTCATCACAGCACCATTTATAAGAGTAAAAGATTACAAAACGTAAATGTCCCTCAACAGGGAAAGTCAAATAAATTAGGGCACACTTATTCAGTTAAATTACTACCGTTATGGACTACATGAAACTGTCCGTACAATAGGTGATTAAGTAAAAAAAGCAAGGTACAAAATATGTGCTATCATTTGTGTAAAATTACCTCTAAGAACATGTTCATACGTACTTGTACATGTACAGGCTGTCTCTGGACAGCTCTCCCAAATGCCACAGCATTGCTACAGCAAAGGGGGAAATGGAACAGGAAGAGACAGCAGGTGAGAGGAAAAATTTCCGCGTGGCCTTCTTTTTGTACTCAGAGTTTTTTACTACATGTGTATGTCACTACATAAACAAAACCAAACAAAAAACTTTAAAATTGAAAAGCCCTGGGGGAACTGGACCGATTCGTTTCCCAAGTGCTTCAGCACTCTATGTCACAGCACAGTCCTCTTCCTTTTGAAAGCAGCGCCTTTATAAAAAGTGCCTCCTGCAAATAAAACTACCCGGGGAACACCAAGGAGCCCTGGGCACTGCTTCTGACCCTGTGCCCTCACGCAGACCCCGCCTGGCTCTTTCCACGACTTCTAGGACCAGGTTTGGACAAGTGTGGGTTCAGCCAGAGCAAGAGTACAATGTCCTTTGACCACAATGTCAAATTCTCACTTGTTTTTAGTAAATAATAAATAGTTTACCTTTCAGCAAAGGTATCGAGTTTCCCCAACTCATCAGAGAGACCAACAAGGGAATCCAAGGTCCCCACCTAGAAAGAGTGTAAAGAAGTTAGAGGCTCACACTTCCGGCAGAGAAGCTTAGGGGCCTTGTCAACAACAATGCAGGGAACTCTAACTTCCATCTCGGCTTAGTTGTCCTCCTTTATCAGTGACCAAACTGGAAACTTGGAAGAGCTCTTAAGGGCAATCAGTGAATTTGTGCCTTTTTTAAATTTCCAGGATAAACCATCATATTTCTGCCATAGTAAGGAGCGACTACTATGTTGTGGTCAGACCTTTGCTCATCTGCCTCTTATAATGCTGGTCTGCGAGTCACGTGATTAACCCCCACAGCCAGGGAGATGTACCAAAAAGCAAGATAAAAAATTTATCATTCCTAAAACCTTTTTTTTTCCCGAGATACCCAACCAATCTGTTTTATTAACAGTCATCTTGCTTCATCATTCACGGAGTCCTTTTCTCTTCAGATTACTTACGATTTCTTACTGTGGGAATTACTACAGAGTCCAAAACTGTATTTAAAGGTTCATGCACAGAATCAGAAGGAAAAACTTTATCATGTTGCCAACCACCAATGAGACAGTAAAAAGTAATTAGGAAATGATGAAGCCTGGATCTTTCTAATAGGTGAAGTTGCTTCTGTTCAAGCAACTTGATTTTAAGCAACTTTTGGCAGGGGTCACATCTCTGGTCTTTCACTCGGAGTAAGCAAAGAGGACCGCTGCACTGACTGACCTTCACAGTGACGGTCACTGAGGAAACAGGGGCAGGTCTAAAAAGTCAGCAAGACGGGTTCAGAACCCAGTGCTGCCACTTAACAGCTCTGCATCTGTGGTCTCCTTTCTCAGTGCATCCTGATCTTTCCACGGGGAGTGCGAAGATTTAAGAGGATGCATTGCAAGTGCCTGGCCCACCCCAAACTGCTCAATAAATGCTAACAGATGTGGTAGCATCACTACCAACTTCAGCAGCTGTGGGCGCAGCTCTTTTGGCAGAAGGGCAACAGGTTTGAAGGAGAAGCTGGGCAGTTAGTGCCATTCCTCCAGCACCCGCAGTGCAATACATGGCGATGTCAGAAAGAGTGCTTAAAGCTTCATCCTCTTGGAAACCTACAATCTTAGGAAGCACTGCAGAAAATTCATTTTGAAGTAAATAGACTGTACATGTCTTGCTCCTCTTTCATGTTTGTTTCATTTTAACTCTGTTCTCCAGGACAAGAGCCCCTAGATGATCTGGCACTACTACCAAATCTCCTTCTGCCATCTGTCCAGTTAGCACTAAATCCTCTTTCTTCCCATCAGAACTAGAGGGATCCTGGCCTTGCTGCCCTCCTCCCAACTCAGTCAAGGCAGGCTGTGCAGGCCTGCACATTTAAACTGTATTGCTGGTCTGAAGTACTTAAGACAAAACAGGAGGAATCCAAGAAGAAGGCCCCAGAATGTAAAATGCTTTCCCACTGTTTGAAGACACTGCTACCCACACCCTTCTTTCCCTGTCAATTTTGTCCTGTGGCTCTAAGTCCATAGGTACCACAATTAACTTGAGGCTACGGCGTGAAGTCCCATCCAGACCATCAACTGCCCTGCCGCCCTCATGCCCAGGCTGATCCTCAGCCTGCTTACTTTCCGCCTGGCTTCCCAGAGGGTACTCCCCCACCCCGATCCATCACGTCCTTCCTCCCCACCAAGAATTTTACCTTGAAGTCAGGAATGGAGAATTTGGTGTTATAAGACAGGTTGGACTTGGAGGTGACAGTGTTCATTCTCTCCAAAGCTTGTAAATTTTCCTTATCGCCAGGGGCAGAAATTAACCAAAACTCGGACATGCTTCCTTCTTCTTTTATCCGGTTACTGACCAAAACCACAGCAACATACACAAACAAAGAAGTGCCAAATTATGTCTACTTCTTCACCACTCGCTTCCCTCAGAATTAATCATCTCCAGGATCTGCCACTTTTCCCAGACCCCACTCTTTGCCCCTTTGACCTTCCAGTTTAGATTCTTTAGTTCAAGGAGACCCACTTGCATAAAGCAATGAATGTGCTGATGTACAATGTTCTTATCTCCACTTGGAAAGCCCTCACGTCTTCCCACAGATTCCCAGACCCCAGAACCAGAACCAGGGGTTCTGACTGGTTTGAGGAGGTGAGAGGGAAGAAGGGGACCTGATTCCTGTTCCTTTCACCTTCCCCTTTCCAGTGAAAACCCATACCTGACAGGATAAAATGAGGGTAAATTGGACAAGGGCACCTTCTAGAATATTGTTCTCCCTTCCACACTGCATCTTCTCGGATGCAGAATGGGGTGGAGGCAGGAACCTGACAGGAGGCATTTTCACAATAGGCCGCCTGGGCAAACCTCAGATCCTAACAGACCAACCTTAAGAGGGGTGCTAGTTTAAAAAAAGACTTGCTCTTTTTAAAAAAAAGGGGAAAAAAGTTGGAGGCAGGTACTTCAAAAGTCGTTTTCCCACAAGACTGCAGAGTTGAGGAACTTGCTGGCAGTTTCTGTCCAGCGTCTGCGGCCTTTCAAGTCGATTAGTTCTGCTCATTCAAACGTGTACACACCCACACCTTTCTCCCCTTGGCCTGTTTTCTCCGTTCGTATCGTGTCCCAAAGCGTCTCCGATAGCAAGGGAAGAAACAGGGTAATAAATAGCCAAGGACCCGTCCTGGACGCTCTTCTTTTTGATTCCCCTCTCTCCCCACTCCACGATAATCTGCCTCCCTCCAGACCCCGCGCACGACGAACGCAATTCCTTTCTCTCCTGACTGCTGATGGCCTGGGACAAACCGGCCCTGCGCAGAACCTGGGGACATGCCACCTGCCCGGCCCCGGAGAGGGCGCCGCGGAGGCGCCGAAGCCGGTTCCCACCGAGAAGCGCGGACCAGACCGGCGCCCGCGGGCGCGGCGAACTGGGAACCAGGGCGCGCGGGGCGGCTGGCGCTGACTGCGGGGCGCCGCGCGCGCTCTCCCCGCCGCCGGCGCGCCCGCCCCGCCGCGCGTCCTTACCGGGAGCCGCGGGCCGCGCGGACGGGCTGCGGGTGAGCGCGGGGCCGGAGCGCACGGCCGGCTCCCGGGAGGCGGTGGCTTCTGCGCGGGCCCCGCCCGCCCCGCTCTTATCCTGCGCGGGGAGGTGGCCGGCCCCCGCCCGTGGGCCATTTGCATACGCGGCCGCCCGCCTCCGTCGCGGACTGGGGCCTGGCCGGGCTGCGCCGCCGCGGCGCCCGGGCCCCTGGAGGAGACGCTGCCCTGCGGGACTGGGCCGGGATCTCGCGGCCCTCCCCGAGGGGGCTGGCTCGGGGGCGTGCTGGGGCGCTCCAGACGGGGGCTCCGGGCCCCCGCGGGGCGGCCGGACGTGAGAACAGCCGCGGAGAGGAGAGGTGAGGCTCGAGCCGCCGCGCGCCCCCACCCCACCGCACCCCACCGCGCAGACCGCGGACGGTCTCCCAGGGCAACTGAGCGACAGCACGGGCCTGGGGGAAGCAACGCCACAGCCTCACATGTCTGGGAGCACACCTGGGCCCAGGCACAAATCTTCCTGTGGCAGTGGGCGTGAGCTTGCCCTTGGTTCCCCTGAGAAAACTGTCCACCGCCCCTCGCTCCCACCCCCGCGCCTTTGGAATTACCTCTATACCGGAGAGGTTTAAAACATAAAGCCTAGGACCACAGTGTTACTTCATGACCACTGCTGTTTGACACAGAGAAAGGGAAACCCTAGACATTAGCATGTGAATGTTAAAAAATAAAAAAGAAATTCGGAGAACTCTCTGCCATAAAGGAGGAAACCTTAGTGCATTCTTTTCTGTGGACAATGTCTTCGGTGGTTTCGTAGAGGGATAAAAATCTCAGAATCATCCTGGGTGTGTGTAGGGGTGGGGGGGGGCGTTGTGGAAGTAGCTAAGGTTGCTTCCTTGAGAAGGGCTCCCCCTTGCCATACACAACTAGTCACACTAACAACCTAGTTGGGAATGCTTCCAGATGTTTGCAGAGAGGTAAGGTGTAAGCCCATGTGCTGGCCTGGGAAGCTCCAGATGCAGGGCAGAAAGGTGGCTTTTAAAGTCACATGCTTGCCCTGCAACCCTGTTATGGGTTTGGGGTTAGCAGTTGGAACTCCCTGCACCTGCGCTGGGCCCCTGCGCTCTGCATCATCACTATTGGGACACTTGGGTGCATTAGTCAGTCCTTGCAACATCTTCCTGAGGGAGGACACCTGAAACCCAAGGATGAGGAAACACAATGTGGACAGGGAGGTTAAGTGGCAATTCCGGGGTAGGAGTGGCCCGGTTGGACACTGAGCCTGGGGTCTCCACACTTGGACTTCATCCAGTAATGCCATTTTTTCCAGCTGGAGGCAAACTCATTTACAAACAAGTATAGGGATGTTCTCAGAGTTGCACGGATTGCCAGATGTCACTGGTTAATGGCAGAGTTATGAGTGGAACTCAGGCCTCTCATCCGAGACTTGTGGCTTCTCACTGCTCCCAGCAAGCCTGTGGGACTGGGTCATAGCTCTGAGGGAACCCGTGCTTTCCATCTCAGCCAACTTTTTCTACCCTTCAACATTCAAAACAACTGACCTTGCTTCTCAGAGATTGGGCAACACATTTAAAAGTGTGGCTTTGCTAATGGTACCATTCTTTCTATAAATATGTTTTCCACTAACAACCTTGTTTTGTGAAATGAGAGTCAGATACAGAATAACTACTGGACATCTGAAAGAAAAAACAAGGACCCACAGTGTTCCTTGTCTTACTTAACATCTTCCTACTCAAAATCTAAAATCGTTCTCACCTTTCACATCTTAAGCTTCATGTTAAGTATTGGAACTTATGACAGTTGACTACTGCTTAGGGGTAGCTTGACTTTTTTCCAAATACCTTTTTTTCTGCTCCTAAAGGTAATTCTATGCTTCTTATAAAGAACTTAGAAAACACAGAAAAGTATAAAGAAGAAAATGAAAAAAATCACCAGTATTTCCATGATCTAAAAATGGCTATTCTTAGCATTCAAATTCTCTTTGTTATTTTTAATGCATATTCAAATACACAGATATGGACTTTTTGACATGGTTAAGATTACATGTTATACATAAAATTGGGCATCCTTCTGCTGGTTGCTTTTTAAAGATCAAAGAAATTATCAAATCTGCCTTATCAATGGATAATCCAATGTCATCAGCAATTTACAGTAAATTACTCAGCACTTGTCAGATGCATTTGATTTCAAAGGCAAATAAAGAGATATTGGTGGATAACTTACATCTTAAAGAAAAAAAATAGAAAAACCAGAGAAAGAGAGAGAGAGGGCTATAACACTATCTTGCCCAGGGGTTTTGATGTGCAGTTTGCAAAGGCAGCTGCATATGTACTTAGCAGCTTTGCTCTCATTTGTGTTATTGTCTCAAGTTTTCCTGTAAAGTGAGCTCAGTATTTAACACAGAGAAAAAGGGAGAAATCAAACAAAAGTTATGAAGCCTGATCCCTTAATATATTATTAGGAGAATATAAAAGCATCGCTGCCCAGTAAGGAAAGGGGTTCCCTTCCATGTATCAACCTGAAGCAGCATTTGACAACCCGTTTTTAATTCCTCCCTGTCCCCCAACTCCCAAAGTCTCTGAAATCTGCAGCTAAATGAATACAAGTTTATGTGTCTTGACACTGCCTTTCAAATACCCCCAGGTCATGAAAAGTGCTTCACATACACAATCCTGAAAGAACTCGGGTTACAGAGAATACTGTCTCTTCCTGAGAATAAAGGCTGGAAAGGAATTGAGTCAGCCTTGAATCATCTCTAGCTTATCACGAATGTGGCTTTGACTAGATATTCCAGCAGTGTTTCTGCAGTTGGCCCTGGGTATGCACTGAGCCAGCCGAAGTCTGTGCAAGATCGAACAGTCCCGTCAAGTTTGGGAACCAGAAGGACGAGGCTGGCTCAGTTGCTCTGTTGTTCTGCTGCCTTTCCCAGATGGTGCCCTTTTGGACCTCTTTATTATTCCATGGCGAAGTAGAATCATAGGATGCTCTTTCCAAAATGAGCACAGACACATAATTCCACCTTCATTTGGGCAGGTGGATTTTAGGTTTTGCTGAGAAGGACCCTAGGGAGATTTCCCTAGAGGCACAGGTCTCCAGTGGAGGAAAATGTAAGTGGCACTGACCCTTGAGAGTCAGTGCAGTGCTGTAGAAACAGATTAGGCTAATCAGACAGTCAGATAAGCTGCTTAACTTTGCTGAGACGAAAGTTTCCCAGCTGAAAAAAGGAGCGCCATTACACCCATCTCTCAGGCTTGCTGAAAGCGCCTTCGTGTCTCCACAAAGACGGTGCCTTCGCTTCTCACGCCCTCCCCATTCGTAGATATTCTTTAGGGTTTTACGCATTGTATGGCACATTATAATACTGCCTCCATACCATCCAGCACCTTTCTCCATGGGCCCAAAGGACTCCAATCTACGTTTTCTCATTCAGCCAATACCCTTGTGATTTAAGAACAGCCGTCATGATGATTTTCACATTTTTGTTGGGGGAACTAAGGCCCAGGAATTCTTGTGATTTATTTGCCCACATGTACACAGGTAAGGAGAAGGCTCCTCCATTTATTTCTTCATTTAACAAGTTTACTTTTTATTTTTTCAGCATCTGCAAGGTGGGGTATGCAAAAATAAATCAGAGTTTTTAGGCTAGAACAAAGCAAGTATGGCAAACAGAACCTTTAGCAGTCTGAACTCACTAAGGTATGAATACCAAACACTGAACAGAATGTGACACATGCATAAAAATGAGCTATACGCATTCAAAACATGCTGTGCTCATCATTTCGCAGATGAGGAAACAGGCACAAAGAGATTAAGTGATCTGAGAGCACAGTTAATGGTAGACCTTGAACTTCATTCTTCTACCTCCAAGTGTACATTACTGGACAAGATCTGAACTATCCTCTCTGCCACCCTGTCCAAAGAACTAGTGACTAGCACTCTATGGCTAAATTTCTGGCTCTTCCACTCATTAGCTGAGTGAACTTGCACAGGTTACTTAATTCAGCCACTGTAAAGTGGGCATAATAATAGTACCCATCTTATAAGGTGTTTCTGGGGATTAAATGATATGGCACAGCAACTGGTTCATATTAGGTCATCAGTTGAGGTGTGCCATGAGGCTAAGGTGACTTCAAAGCCTCTCTGCTGTCTGCCTCTTTTCCTCCTTTTGTGTCCTGTTTTAGGTTCCTTTTTCCCCCTCACAAGGTTCTTTTGGAAAACACCGATTCTGCTCTGTTGTAAACACGTGGCCCATTTGTCACTAATGTATTAGGTTGCTGCCAACATGTCTTTGATGTCATTAACCTGGTAGAAAGTAGAATCAGGCACTCTGCTTCAGGAAGAGTCTGTGGGCTACAGCAAAGAGCCCCTGCAGGGCTCTGAGTTCTGGCTTTGGAGTTGAAAGGATCTGCCCTCACACCCCAGTTCCGTCATGTATTAGCTGTGCCCTTCCCTTGTACCTAATTTCTCTGCACCCGGGTCTCCTCCCCTATATAGTGGGGACTTCGAGGTCTAGTTAGAGAGTTAACAATGAAAATAGAATGAGTAGGCAGGGACCACATCTGCTTCATTCACTGTCAAGTTCTCCATGTTGAGCAGATGCTCAGTGAATATTCTTTGGATCATCTGAAGTGCTGTGCTGGCGACAGCCTGCAGAATCAGGGGAAGCTGAGCATTTTTTTGCTCTTTGTAAATCTATTCTGTTTTAGAAGTTTTAAATGGCTTAGAAAGATCGTGAAGATAGAACACTGCACATATAAGTTACTTGCATATATATGTTAAGCGTGAGTGACACCCATAGTCATTCAATTATGTTTACAAGACTAAAAATTGGAGACAACTTATGTGCCCATCAAAAGGGGATTGGGCCAATTAATAATGGTATAATCCTGCTGTCATTGAAAATGTTTTAGAGAAATATTAAGTGACATAGGAAATGATCATAAAATTTTAAGTAAAAATCCAAAATTAAGATTCCCATTTTGTAAGAAATATATAAATATAATAAATACATATATATCTATCTTAAAAGGAAATAAATCAAGGTGTCAAAAGAAGTTACTGCTGGGGAGTGGCATTATAGGTGTTCTATTTTCCTCTGACCTTTATATTTTCAACCTTTCTATAATGAGTAAGTCACTCTTAAGCTTAAGAAAAAATCTGAGGGATATTAAAATTGACAGCCACCCAGAGAACCGGACTCCAGTTACTAAAGAGCAATAATGTCTGCACTTTCCACCTACTATTCTGAGCTCTGTAATCTCCCATTAGGTCACTGCTCTTGCCCTACCCAACTCTGAAGCTCAAGAAGTCAAAGACTGCCTTTTTTCCCCCTGTTT